CACTATCAAGCTATCACCAGCCACTACAGTTTGAGTTCTATCCCCACCAGGGAACTAACCCACATGGCACAGCAGACCTCTCCTATCTCGCCTGCAGATCCCCTCAGCAGTGTATTTCAGTGGATCTGCTTGTTCTGCGCCACACTCTGTCTCTGGTCAATCTTCTTGCCCCCGCACCTCTCGCCTACACAGTTCTCATATGCATAAATAAATAAATCTTTAAAAAAAATCTCTGTCTAGAGAAACAGAAGGAGAAAAATTAGCATACTGATTAGGATACTAAGGTGTACAAACATATGTAAATGGTGTGCTGAGAGGAGGAAATTCCATTTATGAGCCCCTGGATATGAGCCAGTCAAATGGCCCCTATGGAAGGTCAAGCCTGGACTTTCAGCCTCACTAGCACCCTATTTAAGCTCTAACCACAGCTATGCTGAGTGAAGACCTACTATATGTCAGTCATTTGTAAGGCACTTTAAACAGTTACTGCTTAACATTTCTGCAATTAGACGAAGGTCAATTAAATGACCAGTGAATGACAGAACCAGGATTTCAAACCAGGGTGGGTGGAACCCCAAAGCCTTCGTTCTTTCATTACACTGCTGCTTTCCCAACTGAGCAGCAAGTACGCAGGCCCAGTTTCACCTACCGTTCCTAACACAGGACTGGGGGTGGAGTGTCCGCAAAGCTTTGAAAAGTATAACAGGTGTCTGCCTAATGGCCAGGGGTGCTGGCAGGACAGGTAGGTAGGGGGACAGAGCCACCATTTCTTTACTGGAGTTGTCCAAACCCTCCAGTCCTTCACTTTCATCCTGCCCGAAGTCAGGGAAGCAATAAGCAAATTCCCACCTAAGAAATTTTCTCCTAAGTCCTTCCAGTGCATTTATCAGACTGATGCTAAATAAGATGTTGACTACAAATAATTTAACTTTTAAAACATAAGCTACCTATTGCCACAGATCAAGTAAACCCTCTCAATTTTACTGCCAGATTGACATGGGCGTATTTGTCACTGTGTGCCATGGGAGCACTGCTCTGCCCACGGTGTTCAATAAGCTCAGCAGGCAACCCACTCCAAGCCCTTGAGGGAGAGAAATGGGGATGCCAGGGAGAAGCCTGATCCTTCCCAACCAGGGGAGAAGGAAAACTGAAGCTGAAACAATGGGTTACAAGCTCCCTTGAGCAGCTCAAGGACCCAGCCAGCGTTGGCTAAGACACCTCTCTTTATTGATCAGAGAGTATACTATGAAAACCTCAAAAACAAGCTCTCAGAAGAGTTTGGTGCAATAGCTATGCCAATATTACTGGCGGCAGAAAGTGATGTAAGCTCCAGAAGGCAACTGACATCTGTACCAAAGACCTTTGACAATTCTGTCTCCAGGAATTTGTCCCAAGCAACTAATCAGAGCCATTACAAGGATATTTATAGTACAGACATTTACAAGAGTAAAAATATGGGCACAACCTATATATCGAATACTGAGAAATAAGAAAGCATTAAAAACCAGTATGCAGTATATGAGATGGGAAAATGCTTCCAAACCAATATAAACAATAGCATCATTTTTTTAAATATTTGGCATTATAAAAGACTGCAAGACATAAAATGGAAACCTTTCATAGGTGACTTCTGAGTGGTAAAAAATACCAGTTATTTGAGAGAAAGAAGGTTTACTTCACACCTTTTTATTTTTTCCAAGATTTCTATACTGGTCATTGTTTTTATAAGAAAAAAAGGTCTTCAAAAAATCTAAAGTACAAGACCTCCCTGGTGCAAGGGGTTAAGCACCGCACTATGAAGCAATTCGCAGCCTCTGCAGCACGAGTTCAATCCCCGGCAGGCCAGAGAGAAACCCACATGGCTTAGCAGACCTCTCCTGTCTCGCCCACTGCTCCCCTCTGCAGTGTGTTTCAGTCAATCCGCCTGTTCTGTTCCCCATTCTGTCTCTGGTGGATCCTCTCACCCCCCATATCTCTGGCCTGTACCCCAGCTCTTGTATACATAAGTAAATAAATCTTTTTAAAAAAAGAATCTGAAGTACAACTTTATGCAGGTGTAGATATTGGTCTCATGATCATTCGAACTCAAGAGGCAAAACTTCACTCCTCTTGGCTATTACCTCATTAACTCCCTAAACCCTATGTCCACATTCCAGAACCCTGCACCTGGGAATTGTGTCCCAAGAGCTGTGTCCCAGTTCAGAGTCACTGTCACTTACCTGGTTCCCATCCAATCCCAACAGGAAGAGTGAGCTCACAACGGAAGGACAGAGGAGAGGAATGTTGGAGGCTTTCAGGGAGAGATTTTATCTAGCCCTGTTATACTGCCTCCCTTTCAAACTTCTAACCTGACAGGGCACACACTGGCTCCAGGGACCTTCAATGACCCCAGGAAAGAATTTTGGAAAGTATACAACCTGAACTTCCATGACCTTCTACATGCAGAGGTAATCAGTTTACTGCCAGACAACCTATCTATGGATTTACCATTGCTAATAAAGAGAAGACACCAAGGTGTAAAGAAAAGAAAAATACATGTTTTTTAGATTTTAGATATAAATACACAGTTTACATATATATATATATATATATATATATATATATCATGTATATAGAGAGAGAAGTTCAGAGTTTTTAAGTCCATAACCATGCTTCCCTCTAGCATGTACGGGTGGTCATAGGGAGAATCAGCACAACCATCACTTTTATGAACAAGATTAACAATGATGGTGGCGTAAGGCTGTGAATTAACAGTAAGTTAATAGAAAGGGTGTTCTTAAATATCTGAAGCCTCCTTTTGAACTGCATCTTGGTCAGAAAACAAATCTGACCATATAAGAAATGCATGCTTATATATACATGGAATATCTCTGGAAGACTACAGAAAAGTGTCTAACAGTAGTTAAAAGTGCAGAAGTAAACTTGCACCTTCCTCTTGACACCCAAGAGAAATAATCTCTCCTTCACTTGCCACCCAGCTACATAAGTAAGATGGTCAAAACAGCATCCCCTCCCAAGCATACCCACATTAAGTCAGAACTGCTTTCTCTGTTCAAGTCTGTGACTCCCTCCAGCCTGACTCAGTGCTAACACGAAGCCTTCCCAAATCTCAGGTGGCTTCATGGCTCATCTCAACCCCAACCAAGCTATAACCCAGGGTTGAGATCACATACTGACCACAACATGGACATGAACAGGCTCCTGACCGGAAGTACTAGTTCCTCAAACTCAGCACTCAGAGAAATGTCTCTCAACAAAGGAAAATGAAAAAACCCTAAAATCATCTTCCTCTGAATCTATTTTACAGAACTTCTCACTAATTTTTCTGCCTCCAGGACCAGTCGTTTTCTATGATGAATCCTTATAGATCCTGCCTCTCAGTGCCAACAGCCCCTTTGCATCCATCACTGCCTTACACACACCTCCCAGGGTCCAGCCCCTTCTCTGCTAAAAGGAGGCAGAACGCTCTACCCCAAGTGTAAAAAAGCCAATTATTTTCAATTTTCTCAGACCTGACAGCCCAATCTCAAGACTGGTGGCAGCTGACACATGCCCTCCTAGGACCCAACCCCTCACACCCACAAGCAGGTTCCCACGAGCAAAGCAGCTACAGCCTAAGTCACAATCCCCAAACCCTGGACGCCCACCACACAGGAGGACTTTCTTCCAGTGTTCAGCCAAAAGAACCCCTGGAGACTACTTAAGGGGCTCTTGCGTCTCAGGCACAGTGCAGTCCAGGCTGTGCATTCTGTCCTCTCCTTGGGCACTGGAACCAAAAACCACTCTCAATTTCTTTAGAGTCAGCATTTGCTTGTTTGACCTCCTCTTATTATGATGTATTTCTTTGTAGCTTGTCAGTTTCCACATCTCCCCATATGTCATACCAACCCTCTGCCAGTCAGGAGGATGCACACAGTGTCCTCTTCTGCATAATGCTCTGGCCCAGCCCCCATTGCCTAGAGGGGCCACATCTCAGTGTGGCCATGTGTTTGTTCCTAGCACCACCAAGAAGCTCTGCAGACTTGAAGTCCCCTCTCCCCACTGGTGCCTTAATGCCCTACGTTTTATTCCTCTTAAACTCTTTACCTTCAAGTGTCCTGATTCAGAGGTTGGAAGAGAAAAGACACCAAGGAGTGGAAGCAGGAAACTGCCTGAGCCCTGGGGTGGGATTCTGGTTCTTCATTTCTCCTTCCAAAAAAACTTCCCAAGAGTTTTTTCTATTCAGAAGCAAGATAGCTCTCAAGGGGGTACTTAGATAAAAAACCCCATGTGCATCCAGCCTGTTAGGAAAAACCACCACCCTGACCCCTGCTCATTTATTCCACTGAAGCTTGCTTTCCAAGCACCTCCTGCCAGCCACAGATCATGACATTTTAAGAAAAAATAACTGCATCCTCCACTGGAATAATACATAAGTCCACACTTACCTTTTGCCAAGATTGAAACAGTTGTTAGAGAATGTCCCTCCAACCACCCCACACCAACAGTGTTTGAATTACCTTGAAATACCATCTGGGAGAAATCATCATTGCAAATATTTAATGTCCAATTCATAAAAAGGCAAAGAAACACACCCTCCCCCCAACCCCAACCCCTACCTCCCGGCTGTGATTTGGCAAATGCTTTGTGAGGTAGGGTTATCCAGAAAAGCAAACCTAAATGCTCCCCCCAAAACCTGCTGGTTCCACTCATTCCCTCTCCAAGAGTATTCTACCTTGTCTGCATGGGTATCAGTGAGACAGGAACAGAAAGAGCAACATGATGGCCCTCTAGCACAGCGTGTGCTAGATGATACTCAGGTGCTCAGTGTGTCTTTGGCAATAAAGGCTTCTCCAGGAGTTATCTGAAGTAGGATCTTACCTTTGGGGTGTAATTCCACATGTCTTCGGCCCCTACACCCTGTACGGAGCCGGAATGTTTGACTTTTATCTGCAGGGCATTAAATTACCAGGGGGACTAGGCCTCTGGGGTCTGGTCTGCATCTTATGGAAGTCACATACCTCAGAAGGTTAAAGCTCAGATCCAGCCTCTTTGCAAAATGTCCACAGTCTCTGCCCAGGTACTCTGGAATTTCTCTGCAGTCTTGACCTACGTAGGACACCTGGAAATTAAACAGAATAGAAACTATGAGGCAAACGGAAACAACCCAGCTGCTCACAACCCTCCGACATTGATCAGAACATTGCTTCCGCAACTTTAAATGCACACTCCTCAAATACACACAGACCACATTTGGGGCTGTTTTCCTGATCGAGTCAGCCTTGGGGACTCGAGGGATTCTGCCAACAGCTCTCCTTTCCTGGTACACTTAGCATGATGGAGACTCATGCCAGCACAATGAAATTGGACTAAAATTGGCCAGATTCAGGTGTCCAAAAAACCCAATGTCAGAGCACGCTGATATAATCGCAGCAATCAGCTTCTCACTGAGGGCCCTTTCCAACAGCTGCCCCTCTGGCTCTCCTTCTCCCTCTCCTCCACTGTCTGCCTGCCCCCCAATACCCTGTTATGCATATTACCTCATAAAAGACACAGCAGATGCACTTACCAGCATTCAAGCTGTGGGGTGCTGGAACAAATGGGGTTGGACAAGAAAACCTCCCTAGACCGCCAATCCCATCCCATTATCACTGTGTATAAAATATCCTCTGCACTGAACAAAGCCGATTTGAAGGGGACAGGGCAGGACAGGTGGCCACAGCTTCCAAGTCTCCCTCCTCCAGGGAGCCTTTTGCAGTCAACCCACTCTGCTTGCAGAGTTGATTCCTTAGGCATTCTTTTAATTTATATATTATTGTTGTTATGTACCTTGTATGTGAAGAGGCTAAACTGAAACGTGATCCCAGTACTCCAGTAACAAGATCAAAGGGCTTTCTCACTGATCAAACCACTCAGATTTTAAAACCCATTTTTACAGATAACTTCCAGTGGGCTGAATTGGCAGTCCCAAAATCTATAAAACTAAACCTTAGGTCAGAATGGGCACTTATCTAATGGACTCCACCCTCCTACAGCCAGCTAGGCCCACGGCATGGCAACAACTTTGATTCTACCCCTCACTCCCTTAAAATCTACATTCTTCTATGCATGCAGATAAAGAGGTCTTGGAAAGATTAAGAGATTCCCAGGAGTTGTTTCCTAATGGGGAGCAAGGATATGATGGCCATCTCACATCCTCGAGATATTAGGTTGCTAATAGTCAATCATCTTAAAGCTGTAAAAACAACACTTTCGTGTGGCTCAACTTAATACAAATCACACTGTACCCTAGCACCCTCAATTTTTCAAGTAATCTCTCAGCTCTTTCATATCCAATGGGGATAAACTGCTGATGATACAATATCCTGTACTCACTCGCCTTTGGTAACTTCATTCCTGGAGCAAAGAAAGTGGGGAAAGGGGGCAGAAAAACAGCTGACTCCGACGAAGTAATTTTGACTCAGGAAGATACAAGCTGAAAAACAAAGGGCTCAAAGCTCAATCTAGCAATCTCTCCTCTTTCTACAGGGGACCCATCTTTCTCCAGAGCTCCTTGTATAATAAATTAAGTTCTGCTTGAAAGCAGGGATGGAAATCATACTCCAAGGAGAGACCAGGCACCAATCAATCATGAGTCTCTAATTTTCCCCAGGATGTCCAGTCAATCAGCAGCTTCTTCTGTATCTTAAGTTCATACTGACCCCAGGTTCAGGATGCTCATCCCTTTCACCCCAGTATGCACCAGCACTTTGTACACATCCTCATCTTTCAAGACCTCTGTGATACATATTGTAGAGAGGCTGATATTTAGATATAGAAAGTGAGTTTCCTCAGAGGTTCGCCAAGGACTGACTCTAGTGGACAGTTTGTCCAAGCTCCTCCCATTTCATACACAAAAAACAAAACTCTCAATATCTGGCCAGTGTAATATAGCTGCTCAGTGACAGAGCCCAGACCAAGTCCTGTGTCAGGAATCAGAACCTCCAATTTGGAAGCCTGAGAGTTCTTACAAATGTACATATGAATGTGCGTTTTCTTGATCAACAGAGCCTAATGGTGCATCTATCATCCCGTTGGGGATTCAAAATCAGTCTTCCAAGCTAAAAAGTTGAGAACTACCTCATGAGGCAATGTTGAAAGCCCCAGAAGAGTGTCAGGGCCTGCCTACAGAAAAAGAAATATTTGCTCCCCCTTTTCTTCTTAGGATTCCCCTTCAGAGGAAGAGGCACCAAGGAGAGCTTATCTCCATGAGGTATTCAGGTCAACACACCTGAAGAGACTTTTCTACAGCTTGTTTTATTACATAGTCTTAACAACATCCCAGGAAAACTAAACAAAGCATAACTTGTTCCCATTCCACAGAGGTGAAGAGTAAATTGCAAATTTAGTATGCAAGTCAACTCAGTAAGCCATCTGCATGCCTGAACCTCTGCTGTAGGAAATTGGAAGCTTTCAGAGATGGGAGTTAAGCCCATCACACAGAGGAGTTCAAATTGGCTGGGAAAGGCTTGAAAGGAGCAAGCAGCCACTACCAGACATCGCAACCAACACTTGCAAGAAGAGATACTTGTTTAAGAAGTTCTCCTGAATGGAAGACACCAACTCTCAGCATGTCAGGAAGTTTCTGGGAGCACAGGACTACTGTAGGGTAAGGAAAAATGTCTGGCTTTTCTGCCCTCCCGCCATCAGGATAGATGATGGATCCTTGCAGTCCTGAATGCATGCCTGATGGCGGGCACCTGGAGTAGGGTGTGGGCCTAGGTGGATGGGATTCATCTGGGCTAAGACTGGGCTTTTAAGGGTGGCGTCATGGGGAAGCCAGCAGAAGCCGAAAGAGAAGCCGAGAGAGAAGCAGAAGCAGAGATCACCGGAGAGCCCAGATAGAGTGAGGATTTGCTGGGGGCTGGGAGGACTGCCAGCCTCCTGGCCCCCCAGCACCCCTGCCTGCTGTGTACCGGGTAAATCCCAATAAAAGACCTGCAAAAACCACTGAGGACTCTGACTCCTCCTTTACCCAGTCTGCTGGATCATAGAAAACCTGCCCCGTGTCCTGTCCTGACCCTACAACTACCTAATGTAAGAGACAAAGCCAGAGACCCAGAACAAAAGGTTTGCTTCTTTGGGAAATGAAAGAAGGGGTGTAGCAATGAGTAGGTCTTCTATGGCACAGAAATCAGCGCACACCCAGAACCAGAAACCTTTGCATGTAGTCAATTGTCTTGATTTAGACTGAATGGAGGAAGAAAATTTTGTACTTTGTTTGCCTATCTTATAAAATCTGTACCCCAAGGCTTCCACCCCATGTGGAAGGATCACACAAACACATACAATTATCAGGGAAATGAAAACACAGCAAGCTAAAGACCCCTACAGAGCAGCACGCCAGAGAGGAAAACAAGACTACCTGAGAGAGGGATCCCCATATATATACTTACCCAGGTCCTCTGAGCAAAAGCTGCCCCAAATTACCAAACCGCAGAAGACCACAGGTTTCTCTCTGCAGTTGGGACTGTCTAGCTCCCAGGACATGTCTAGAGGCAGTGGTTTTCTCAGTAGAGCCTGGGAGGAGATTGTTTATGATGGCGGCCCAGGACACTCTGGCAGTAGAAACAGCCCTGGACAGGAGTTTGAGTCCCTGTGCTGCAACTTACCAACAGGGTTCGCTTGGATACACAGCTGTTTCCTCTTCTGTAAACTACTCTAATACTAACTGCCCACAAATGTGTTAAGGATAATGTAACAACTAATAATTACTAAATGTCTGCCACCTGGCTATTACTAGCCAATCCTCATGAAGCAACCCGAAGGTCAAGTTTTATTCTCCTTTCATTTACACGATAGGGCTGAGATAAAACAACATATTTAAAGTATACCGCACTGTCCTCAACAACTACTGGCCACTTCAGACCAATATTCCTGTGGAAGAATTTGTTATTCTGATGGCTCCTGAACATGAGATTTCATTGCCCAAGGTTGCATTTTTGTTGTGCTGATGCTACTAACTTAATTGTCCCAAACTAGTAGAAAAATAAGATGGAGGACTTAATGTTGAACATAAATGATACATTCAAGCCAATAGAAAGGTCAGACCCATGTTGAGTGAAGATTTTACAGAGTAATCTTTTTATAGCATCCCAAATATGGGGTGTTATAAGCCTGTGGAACTCCTAAAAACCAGGGCATGGCAGTCAGCTCACTGTGGCATTGCAGTGACCTAGTTTCAGCAAAACAGCAGCATCCATCTCATTAAATTGTTTATTTTAATTTTAGTGGTGTTATGGTTTCTTTGCACTTAAACCATCCCTTGGAGGGGGGGGCGGGGGAAGGTCTCTAAATAAGAGCTTAGATAAAAATTTTTCTTGTAAGCAATGTGGTATTAAAAACTACAAGACTATGAGCTCATGAGAAATTTTGTTCACACTTTAACAAGCATCTCCCAAGTTTGAGAGGCAACATGTGACACACATACCAGGTGCTGCCTCTTTATAAAGACTACCACTTAGAACCGGCTCAGAGCAGGATGGCAAAAAGACACTCCTCTTAGGGTCACACCCTGAATCACCAGCCTGGCACTGACACCCTAGGGGCACTTTTCCAAACTCCTCAGCTCCTCCCCTAGTAGTGCCAACTGCTTAAAACAGTCCTTAAGGGCCCAAAATGCACACATCTGTGATTGCCTTTAAGCTGTTTGGGATAAAAACTGGGGGGGTGCAGGAAACATCAAGTGTGAGAAATAGAGGAAAAAGGACGCAATTCCCTGTGCTTCTCTACTAGCAAGTCCTCCATGAACCTGGAAGAAGCTACGTCCAGAGAACTGGCCTGCAGTGAAGAAACTTAGGGTCTAGTGGAAGGAGGTGTTCTCAGGCAAAGGTGCTCTCCTGTAGGCCCTCCCTCTAGGTAGCCATGTTAACTCCAAAAACCCCTTTGGTAGCTAAACCACAGCATTTTTAACCTCTCCCATGGGCTAGTACCTCCCTGACAGGCTCACTTCTGAATTCTGAGAAGGGGGAAATATTCCCTTTGGTTCAAAGTCTAATTGTGCCAGACATGACCTGGCCGAGGCAATCCAATGGGAGAGCAGCAAAACCTCAGCTATTACTCTAGAGTCTGCTGGGGAAGGTGGCAAATAGAAGGATTGACCTAAGCAGAGCTTAAAAAGCGACCTGGCTTTTCCAGCAGGTAAAATGTACCTGGTCCCAGTATGGCTGAGTCCATCTCTCCAGCAAAGTCTAAAAACACCTGAGGCTTCACTGCCTGGTTGAAAGCAAGTGAGGCTGGATGACTTTCACTCAAGTTTGAAATGGGAGTGTTGCTAATCCCCAGACACCTGTTCAAGAAGTTGGGTGCTCACCCACCCTCACCAACCCCCAAGCCTAGGGTCCAGAATGATGCACCATCATTTGTCTTCAGAAGGCCCAAGGCACTCCAAATAAAAAAAACCTAGAATTTATATTTTACAATTGCATTGATACAAAGACAAATATATTAGTGTTACATATTAAAACGTTTTCTTTGACCAAAATTCTTTTTTTCTTTGGATTATGAAAGAAAACTTTTGTGGGCCCCAAGAAGTACTCTGGGCATTCCTACTCTGCCTGATAGAGAAGTCAGCAGGCTGGGCCTGGTCAGAGAGCACCACAGGGGAAGAAAGGTGGACGGGACCTGAGGGGGGCTGTGGGGTGGGGGTGGGGGCTTTCCTCCTTCCACTACAGCCAGGAGGTGTGGCTGACCGCAAAGGGGTCCGTCCTACCAAACCAGAGCAGATTTGGGCGCCCAATGACTCCGTGCTCCCCACCTGCAGGTGCAGACCCCTGGAATGGGACAAGGAGCTCTGTTTAACCTGGGGGTAGGAGGAGCCTCAGCAGCCTCTGGGGGCACCCATGGCCTCAAGGCTCCCTCCCCAGACAGACAGTGACCCAGGTGGGGAAGGGGCTCGCCTAGGAGTACTTACTTGAGTTCCACTGACCACGACTCCGGCCATGGCTACGGGGCAGGCGCTGCACCCAGCAAGGAGCAGAGCACAGAGCGCTTGGCGGCGGCAAGCAGCCCGGGCAGGGCGAGCAGTTCCGCACTGGGCGGTCAGCTGACCCGGCGGAAGCCCGAGGCGCGGGCTAGCTGTCCCGGCTTAGCGCTGGTCTGCTGCACGCGGGCCGCCTGCGCTCGCGCAGCCCCGGCACAGGTGAGCCTCGGCAACCAGCGCCGCGCTGCAACAGGTGGCTAGCAGCGTCCAGTGTCCCGGATGGAATAACTTGACCCCGACTACCCCGTGCCCTCCCCCCCTAAACGTCCCACGTCCCAGAACCGTGTGATGTCATGAAGGGTCAGGGGAATAGGAACAACGCCTTCAAAACTCCGTGCCCAAAGGGCTATTGCATTAGTGGGGAAGGGAAAACTCTGGGTTCGGAGAGACTTCCTCCCCATCAGGGGCGCCTGATCTGAGCTGCTAGCTAGGGGTGTAAAGAACTGGGCCTTTCCTATATTTCACAATCCAAATTACATAACTGCTCAACTACAGAGAAGAGGAGTCTCCTTAGCGGAAGGCCCCCTCCCCAAGTTTGAGTGGAAGGGACAGCCCAGAACATGGAAGGACATCTGGTGGAGTTTCCATTTGTTGGTGCTGGGGTGGGAGTGAATTTCCCTCTAAAGTCCTGACTCAACTAACAGCATTCAGCTAGCTGACTGTAAACCCTGGAGGAGAATCTATTGACATATCCAAATTTCAGGTTTCCCTTCTCAAAATTTTCTCCCTGCCTATTTTTGCAGGGATGTACAAAGTCAGACACCAGTTCATTCTATTGTCACTGTCCCCTACTACAACTAAGAGCCATTAACTGTGCTCTTATATGCCAATGGGTATAGACACCATTCAAATAGAGAAGGGAAAACTGAGTCCTGGCATCCCAGACTCCAGGTCTTGCATACATTGGAGATACCTCAACTCAGTGGGCCTGGTGATTATTTTAACACCCCCACCTCTGGGGGGAGGGAGGGGGAAGAGAGGTTCAAAGGCTTTTTGTCTTCTTAGTTTAGTGTGTCTAAACAGCACTTAGAAACCCCTGATTGTACAGCTGATGATGATGATTATGATGGTGGTTAAGCATTTTGTCGCTATTGTGGTTTTCTTGCAGGCCTGATGCCAACACATTGTAATGTGGGCCCTTATTGTCAGCATTTTGATGAGCAGTGTTGACCTCTGAGGGTTGAACCAGTTGCTCTTCTCTCTGCTGAGAGGAGAGGACACAGCAAAGTGGAGCTGTAAGAATACAAACTTGGCTGTGTTTACTTTGGGGGGGAGGGAGGGTTTTCCAGGAAATTCTGCAACAAAAGGTCCTGCAGGCCAAAAAAGAAAGCTTGCCCTCCAGAGATAAGGAGGATCAAAGGGAATCTTCTAAGATCTACTGCCCCACAGACCAACTCCTCTTGTTCCTCCCTCCTGTGCTGGACCAACCCTTTCTGGTCCATTGTCCATTTTTGTCTACCTTTCCTGCCTGAAAAGGAGGAAGCGGACGCAGGTCCTAATGGTCATGATATTCTGCCCTCCCCCAAGCACCCTTCAACTTGGCCTTCCTAGAAGACCAGCTGGAGATGTTAGGGGGAAATGATGTCCTGAGTTAATCCCATACAGGCTTTGTGGACCCCACCCCCACTCCAGACTAAAGCCATCAAGACATTGGGAAAGACAAATCCCATCACCACCAAAGGGAAGGTGGCTGGGACCTGAGGGTGGAGTTGGGCAGCCAGGTTGGATATAAAAACCAAACACGTGGGCCTTGGGGTGGCTCGCTATCGCTCGCCTCCTGGCTTCACCGCTCCTGGCTGGCGGCCAGCTCTCAGAGTGCCATTTTGGGATTCCTGATCAGCGGATCGGGTAGGACTCATTTAAAACTTTGTCTCCCACTTTTCTCCCTGAGCTGTACATTTCCTCATTTCCCCTTCCCCTGTAAATAAACCTTTTATTAACCTTTTGCGTGTGCCTGCAGTAGAGCACTGATAAGTCCTTTTAAGCGCGCGGGTGAGGACCCACAGTCAGGCACCCCGTTTTGTATCGGGGTTGCTCTACAACAGAGAGGACATGTGGAGACAAGCTTGAACCTACTCATAGATGAAATTGGAAACCCCACTCCCCACACATCTTCACCCCACCCACCAGGAGGAAGGTAGAGGTCATCTCTGCCCCTGCTTCCATGCACAGCTATGTCTTTTAAAGAGAAGTGGTTCTACACTCTCCACCAAGGACCACAAGTAGGCAGGAATTGTCCCCATCTTTCCAGACCCCCTCACTATTGTTCCCTCTTCTGTCTAACCCCGGGGTGATCATTCTAAAAGTCTGATTTGACTCTACCTAAAATTTTTCAGTGGCTTCCGATCAACTAGTAATATAGTCCAAGATCACTAGTGTGTCCCTCAGTACCTCATAATCCCACTCTGCTTCCTCTCCCACTTCTCCCACCACTCTGTTTGGGTTTAGTTGTTACTTTTAATACCAAGAATACCTCTCCACCCCTTCTTGCCTCCCTAGGTAAGCCAGGTTAACCCTAGGGGAGAGACAGTAGGAGAAATCACAAAAACAAAGTCCTGGATAACTCAGACTGAGCTGGGTTTTAGTGTTGGAAATGTAAATTGATACAAAAAGGAGCTCATGAAAGTTCTTGAGCAGGGTGGAAATTTGCTGAACACAGACAATGGTGGAGGGCTCCTCTAGAAACAATGGATTCACCTCTCCTTTCTCCCCTCAGTTTTCCTAAATTAATCCTCAGACAAAAGAAGCAGAAGCATTGGGTGGAGGAGGGTTAGGGGGTTAGTAAGGAGAAGGGAGAGGGGAGAAAAAGATAAAGACTTCTTTCTTGAACCAAGGAAGATCAGAAGAGGCGAGCACGAGATATCATCTACCTCCTCATCACCTTCTTGAGCAAAAAGTAGGAAAAAATAGAAATAGCAAATTTCCCAGAAAAGGTAAATTTCTTGTCCCTTTTAGAAGGGAAGAAAGCAAAAGAATACAGATACACTTGGCCCAGGAGGTAGACAAATGATTCCTTTAGAATACAAGGAATTTACAAAAATGAACAGAGACAAGTTTTCTTGGGCTTTCATCATGAATACCGTTTTTTCTCCAATGACTCTGGATCACTGAGGGAGAGGGAAGCCTCATGCAGTCATCAGGGTTCTTCCTCATTCCCCACACCTTCTTCTACCGCCAATTGAGAGTAAGCTCAACAGGAACCCCCCTTGCCTGACACCAGTTTACTCCACAGCCCCTCTGTCCCAGTTTCCAAGGATCAGGCACGTCCTAGGCACTGGGGGCATACATGATTAAGACATGCCCTTAGGGAGATTTTTGTGCTCTGACAATTGCAGTGCTGTATCAACAAAAAGTGCTCTAACTGTGATCATATTTTCTGAACCCCAAATTGTGACATGTATCCCAATTTGTATGGTATACTTATAGGGACCACAGAAGAGAAAGTTCAAATCAGATTTGAGCTGGAAATCCTGGGCCTGTGAGTTCTGGAGCTCTAACATCAGCATATTGAGAGTGAGAAGTTTCAACACTTACATCTAGATGTTTCCTTGTCACCCTTGATGAAGAGCGCAATATTTTATTCCTACTGTCATCTTTGTTATTATTATTATCCTTTGGCAGAAGAAGTCCTTTCCCCTAGAGTCCTTCCTACATCACATTCCTGGGGACAAAAAGGAAGATCCTGTTTATTTCCAATCAAGGGAGTTGATTCTGGGGTCGGCCAGAACCAAGGAAACAGGAACTGATTTCTTAAATCTCCCAACTGTTTTTTGTATCAGTAGCTGAGAAAAGGGCAGGGCCAGTTAACAAAGTTTTATGAGCATTCCCACCTATCCTTAGCCATAATGCTATTGAGCCTGGCATCCTTTCTTTCAGGCCCAGCCTCTGGGCAGGTTAAAATGTTGCTGTAATTAATCATGCCCCAGTCCCAAGTTCAGACTCACCACATTCAAATTTCAATTAAAAAAAAAAGCTGGATGCCTGCACACAAATGCTCTTTGTTGCTGAGGCAGCCTCCTTTCACCCCAAAGGAGTGGGTTTCTGTCCCTCTCGGCAGTTTTTGCGCACATGTAAGTGATAGAGGAAGATCTATATGCTAAAATACTGCCCCACCTCTGAAACAGAACACATTAAAATTTTAGATATATATATGTATCTAAATATACATATATATTTATATATATCTGCATTATATATATATATATATATATATATATATATATATATATAATGCAGTCACCATGCTTGGCATAAGTATTCCCTGCATAAATGTTAGTTTCTTGCTATTATTTAACAGTTATTATAATTGAACAATTAATTATAATTTAACTATTATTATTATTAACTCTCAGTGCCTCCAATTACCCTTCTTCTTAAAAGATTCTGTTGTTGTCTCCATTAAAATGCAAACATTAACAGGGAGTAGGGAAGGGAGCAGGTTTGGGGATGGTGAGTGGGAAAGGGGCCTCTATTTTTTACTCCATTTTTTCTGCAATTTTTGCAAAATGCATATATCGCTTTGGCCATGAAGAACAAGAAGGGACGAGACTGCGATGGAGTGAGCAGCAAAAGAAAATTGACAACTGAAATTGTTATGTGCTAATCTCTCAGTATTATTTTCACAAACCCTGAGAAGAGCAACGAGACACAAGTTGTATTCCCCTTTTGGTCTGGACCTTGCTGAACACTCTGCATCCTCACCTGGATTCCAGAAGGAATCATCTCTGATATGGGGAAAGGGACCCATATTCGACCTATGAAACAGAAAGGGAACACTGACCAAAAGAACCCGCTCAACCCGATATTATTCAGTGGGGGAGAGGGGAGCAGCTTATCAGGCCCTCCCAGGCCCTCCCCTTCCAGAATCCCAAAGGGCTCTGAAAGGTTCCACAATTTCGAGGTTGAGGAACCGCCCCCCCCATCTTAATTTAAATATGTGAAAGGCAGAATGATCCTGATTCATTCTGTAGGTGGTGCCTTCACATTTAAATTTTTCTCCCAAGTAACCCCCATCCAAACTCACTGCTTTAGAAATC